GGGGGGGGGGGGGGGGGGGGGGGGGGGGGGGGGGGGGGGGGGGGGGGGGGGGGGGGGGGGGGGCACAACAGTCGGCCGAGATTTGGCTGTGCACTGGGGGTGGTTGCGTGTACGTGCAAAGAAGAGTCGCTCGGTTTTTTTGCTTCTGTGGACTTGAGGGTCACCCCTGTTCCTCCTTCGTGAGTCGTGTTTCTTGGTATATGCCAACGTTGGGCGCGATTGGTCTCTGTGTTGTTGACTGTTTTTTTTGTTGTTGTGGTGATAGGCGCGTCCAAGGCGATGGCGGCGCTCGCCTCGTTGTGGCTTCCTTTCCCGTGAGTTCCCTTTTTGGTCCCTCTAGTGTCTCTCGTCGTGAACATGCGGCCGCGGAAGGTAGGAAACGTTGGGGGTCTATTGGAGCAGCACAACCAGCAACGGACAAATGCATGTGTACGTGGATGTAAGTATGCGTATGATGTCGGTAGGGGAGGGGCGTCGTCACAGTGGTGTGTTGAGTTATCGTTAACAATGATGTCTTTTTTTGCTACTCGTAGTTGGACCTGTCCGCGTTGAGCTTGGGCACTCGCCTTACATCCGGCGGGATTGCTGTACGTTAGTCGAGGATCGGCTGCTGTGAGTGACGAAGATGAATGGTACCGAATACGAAACATGTGTGAATGGTCTTAGATGTGTGTATCTGCACTGATGTTTGACGAAAAGACATCAGGCGCCCTCCGGCATGGCTGGATGAGGCATGCTTGTTGCGCGAGGGTTGCAGGCAATGGGACACCCCCGTTCCAACGCCGTTCCGACAAACATTTCTTTGAGTCTGCATTTTTTTGTTCTCTGCTCCTTCACAACATCCTCGCCGTTTTTTGTGTTAGGAACCGCACGGAAGGCGCGTTCTTTCCATTTTGTTTTTTCTCTTTTGGACAAAACAAATGGGTTATCGCCCCATCCAGACCATGGTCGGTAGAGGATTGTTTGGACGGCAACCCTGCTCAAAGTTGTTGGCCTGAATGGATGAGAGGCTTTCTCGTAGGCAGCAGGCAAGCAGCGGGACATTCACTGTCCCTTCCAAACGCCGCTAAACAAGAAAGCGTGGCGGAGTGTTTCCCGTCAAAAAGAAATGGCTAGCAATGGGCTACCGCCCCTATTCCAGCGCCATTCTTTCTGTCCCCGCTCCTTGAGGTCGATTCTCTATTTTCTCTCTCCCACGCTTGCTCGCGAAATTGCAATCAGCAAAGGGGCCGAGACGTGCGTGTTACGACACTACGAGGAACGAACGTCGAGCACAAGAGGGGTGTGTTGTCTCCTTGTTGTTCACCCCCGATTCTGTGCGAAAAGACGACGTGTTTCGCCTCACGCGTTTGTGTGCTCAGCGCCGCCGGGCGGGAAACCGCCAGCAACGGGCCCCAAGCCCTTCCAAACGCGGTTCGTCCCATGCCATACCGTTCCCGGCTTCTTGTTCTTCGCCGTTCTTCTGATCGTGCATTTCGGTACTGCTAGTGACCGGGTTGTTTCTTGTTGTTCCTTCTCGTCTTCCCGGCTTTTGGCTTGTGTTGTTCCTGTGCACCGGGAGAAGAAGAATATCGCCTTTTCTTTGTGCGTGTGGTGGCGCGCACCGTCTCGGAGCTTGGGACCATGTCACTCTTGTGTTCTTCTAACGGTTTCTGTAGGCACGCTTGCCGTGCTTGGGGTCGGTGGAGGTTGTTCGCGATCGTGTTTCTGGCCAGCAGTGCGTCCTCCTCTGGTGTGTGTGTGTGTGTTTGTGATTGTGTTTCGGTGGGTTGCGAGCTTCCCGTGAAGAGCTCGGTTGCTTCGAGCGTAATCCCCCGCCAAGCGGCCGTTCCCTATCACGCCCACAGTCGAAGCTCTGCAGCCGACCGTAGAACTCTGTATTCGTTTCCCTTTTTAGGTCGGGTGTAAGTTTGTTTCTGGGGACAGGATACCGTGGAATCACTTTCACTCTTACCATATGGAATATCATCGACCGCTTTGATTGAGACGTTATGGAGGTCGAAAACGTGTACCGGTACGTGACGAAGCGCACGCCGACGTCCGTGAATCTGTTGGAGAGAGTACGCCTGTCCTTTGGATGTTTTCCGAGAGATGTATGTCAGCCACTCTTTTTTGCCCGAAGCAACAGAATCATTCTATCATTCCGCCCCCCTTACCCCTACCCGGTAGTGAAAGAACTGGAGGCGGCGCAGATGAAAGCAGCGAAAATCATCCGAGGATGCTCCAAGCGCACAAGTAATGCAGCCGTAGGGCAGAATTGGGGATCCAATCCCTTCGGTCGGGAAGAGACGCGAGTAAGCTGACATGGCCGTATCGCATGTGCGGGATGGGAGAGGAGAGGTTGCCGAGAATTGTATGGGAGGCGAAGTGGGCAAACAAAAAGAGGGGTAGACAACCTACGGAATGGGTCAAGGTTGTAGAGGACGTACGGAAGGGGCTCGACACCGACGAAGATGAAATGCTGGAAACGGAGGGTCTACAGGGGTTCAAGGAGAAGATATCTGTTGCTTGTGCCGAGAGAGAACAGAATCTGAGGAAAGAATCCAAGGATAAGGAGGGTCTAGAGGTGTACGGAACGTTGAAGGAAGGAGAGTAGGGTTCAAGGATTACCTACATGGACCAATTGATGCAGGAACAAAGCTTAAGGTCAAATTCAGGACCGGGGACATAGGCCTTTGAGAACGTCGACGAAGACATAGGACGGTAGACGACGAAGACGACGAGTTCAAGTGTGATTGCGGCTTCGAATGCAAAGACCGTGTTCATGTAGTCGCGGAATGTCCGTGGTACAAGAAGGAGAGGGAAGTGTACGTGACCGAGCTGGGAAAAATAGATGGGACGTACAGGGAGATGTTTGAGGCATGGAATAGAGAGGAGAGGACGGCAGCTGTACTGGGGCATAGGAGGTGGGATGAAAAGGCGGGAAGGGATATCGTTAGGATAGACAGACTAGGGAATACTTTTTTGAGCCACCTTTGGCAAAGTAGAAAGGAGCGATTGGCCATCGGTGATCGGTCCTGTGGGAACAATGCCCCGTCCTCTCGAGGACGCGTGGTCAATGGTCTAACCGCTAAGGCACGCAAAACATAAGAGTACGCCCCCCCCTTACCCCTACCCCCGCCGCCCCTCCCGTGCTGCAACCTTTGCGCCCCCTTGTTGTCAACACCGCTGCGTTCCAGGTCAAGGAAAAGCGGGGTCCTCTGACGTCACCGCTACCACGACCAAGATCGATACAGGTGAGTGAACAAGCAACACGGTCAATGTGGTCTGCTTTTGGTCCGACCCTGTGCGCGGCGCGTAGCTACACCCGGAGCGGCAACAGATATTGCGTGTTCCATTAGACGTACTACACCACCTATGACAGCGCCTTGCTCCGACAACAGACGAGTCATTGTTGGGGGTGGCACCGGTGGTGTGATGATTTCCCATTGCTACTACTTACGGGAATCCGCACCGTGTCTACTCCTGTCGAACTCATGTAGGATAGGTCCATAATTCCGCTTGGACCCTTCCGGCGAACCACTGAAGCCCAAAACGACGACCAAAACACAGAGTGACAAATTATTCGACCCTACCTCCGTGGTGACAAGATGCTCCAATACTCGCCGTGATCCTCCGCGCCGATGTGATCTTGTTGTAGGTGAGAGAGGTTCTCCCCTTCCCCTCCACAACTTTTTTTTCTAGACCCCTCGCCGGTCTTAGCCAAGAGAGTGCTGCCCGTATTTTTACTCCTCGTTCCATTAATACAAAACAGGTAACAGCAGGTCCCCTTTCTTCGCTTGAGTAGAGATGCCCGCCTTCATCACACCCCAACCCTCCCGTGCGTTTGGCACAAAACAGGCCGTTCCCCGTTTTGTACGCTTGTCGACCAACGCCCGCCCTTGCACTCCCTACTCTGTCCACCTTCTTCCCCCATCCAGTCGAAGAGGAGCCTGCTACGGGCGAGACTCAGCCGGAAGGAACCGCTCCGATTGTGTAGTGTGTGCCTGCCGCCTGTCTACTGTTGTAGCGGAGGGCAAACCCAGGTCCATTGACGTTTATTCTGTAGTCGACTTTGTCATTCGCGATTCTGCTTCTGCTGTACATTCTATCGATGATTTGGCGGTGTGAGTCGTCCAAAAGAAGGTGCCATCCTAGGGAAGTCATTTTTACTCGGCGCGCGTGCCATGCCCGATCGTAGATTTCGATCCCCCCGGCCTCCCTTTTCTGGTGTAGAGCCAGACGCGTGTGTGTATGCTGGCGTTCACACTACATAGGGCACTCATGTCAACGAATGCCGTCATCGTTAGGCCATTGACCTCCATCCCTACAGTGTCGGGACGGAGCGATATGCCGAGTTTCCGCCGCCTTACGTTTCACAATGAAGAGTTAGTTGTCATCCTTGTGGGGGCAACATGTCATGTGACTTTGTATATCTCCGTCGACGTGCGCATGTATGATTTCGTCGCGACTCGTATTAAAGAAAACAGGCACAGGGCATGCAGCTACAATATGGTCGGATGGATTTTGGATGTCGTGGCGATTGAAGATTGATGTGCCTTGGTTCGACCGCTCCAACTTGTTGCGGGGAGCACCCGCGTCGTCTCTCGTATCAGGTTATCTATTAGCAGGGGGAAATGCTGATGTGTGACCCAAGTAGCTGAGAAGGGATTCTGTTTTGTACCCCTCCTCTTTTCCGCTTCATTTATCGTTGTCGGTGTAGAATCTTGTTGTCGATCACGTGCGTGGTGTAGCTCTCGGGGGATTTGACGCGTGGAGAATGCCAAAGCCTTCGCTAGACTGCAAGGCTAGGTTGTGGAGTGAGGGAAGTTCAAACGGTTCCAGCGACCGAAAGAGCACAGTCTAGCGTTTGCACATTTTCAGACATGGGTACAACCGCATATGCGTATGATGGGTGTATTTGTACAAGTAACGACTCGCTTGCTCATCATCTGTACCTCTTGTTGTTTCGGTTGATGGGGGTATTATTGTTGTGCACTTTCACGATCGATGATGTATCTGTTACGGCTGTTGGCAGTCTTGCTCATAGGAGACAGTTGAGTACTGTGTCGTAGCACACAGACAGATAGACCCCACGCACCACCCGGGTACCTCCCCCTTGCTTGAAGAATGTAGCGGGAATAACCCAACTTCGTCGGATGTTCGGTCGTATTGTTGCCTGAGGGAATGCCTCCACGCATGATCCATGCGTCGTGTAGGTGTCTGTAGTAACACACACCAAGAGAACCTGGCGTCGGACGGTCTCGAAGTTCCTTAAATAGTGGCAGGTCGGAAAGTTTCGCTTTCATTTTGTACGACTGAAGCGGCGAGGGAGAGAAAAGAGAAGTGGCGGCCGTGGCACCGCACCGAATATTTATCCACTTGCTATTTCCAACGAGATAATTTAGTCTAGCAATGTAGAGGATTTTCGAATGGGAGGATGGGGGGGGGACGAACCCAAGTAACAATGTCGTGATTCTGGTCAAAAACGTATCACGGTGACAACGTGGGGCGTCGCGTTGTTGCCCGAATGCGGCCGGAATTCCGCCAGGCCTGCTCCGCTGTAATATGCACCTGCTCTGTACATGATGAGCGGGCCGCGTCAATTGCCATTGATTGTCTTCGCCAGGAAACGAAAACACTGGTCCCGCCCACCCCACCGCGAGAAAACGCACGGCGAAAAAATACGATGGGGGGGGGGGCGTCGTCGTTCGGGAAGGAGGGGAAGCGGAAGCGTCGTGTTGTTGGGGAAGAGGATTATTCGGGGCGGTAAATTGGTTTGTGTGTAGTGTGTGGGTACATTCTTGTATGTACAACGTGTCAAGAGACGGGCGGGGAGATAACTTCTACAAGCCCCCCGCCGCATCGAAATTCTGTTGCCTTTCTTTGGACGCGTTTTTGCGTGTCCCTTTTATGATAGTTGTTTCACTTCGGATGTGATACGCATTTATTACCAAAGAAATGCATGTTTTCGGAGCGAATGAAAGGAGACGTAGAGACGCACAGAGATATTTCTTGGCGGGTCTGATGGTGTGGTGTGGGAGAGGTCGAGGGCCGTAAGCTGTGGGGAGGCGTGCTGGTCCATGATGCACAGAGAGAGGGGGATGCGCCAAGACGCGATACCTATCCATGATGCTGCGACCCACGGGCGAGGGGGCCCTGACGAGGGTATTGGCCCGGAAGACATCGTCTATCCCGTTTTTTGACCATCAATGTGGAGGTTGCAGCTTTGTTTGTTTTCGTCCAGCGCACGGTCACTCTCGTCGCTTGTTCTGGTTCGTTGTTGTGCTATTCTTCGTACTGGTGATGTTTCGAGTGAGGGGCAGCAGTCGCGCTTGGGGTGCACGGCAAGGATAAAGGATAACAAAGTGTTTTCAGACAAGACGAGCCGGTTCAGGAGGCAACAAACTGTCATGACATTACCTTGAAGGCATCGTACGGTGATCGAGTTGTTCACACATTCTGGGGTTGGGCCGTTCGCTCCGTGACATGAAACGGGCGGGGGCCAATCACGCATCGATCGGTCATGTTGGTATTTCCACACATATGACCTTTCCATGTTCCGGTATGGCGCCAACAATTATTATGTGGAAAGCCGCAAACGCCCCCACCGTTCGTTCCCTGTTGTTAAGCTGGCGTGGAATATATGGAACACCGTTTCGATCGAGTCGGAGTGGAAGTTCGCCGGGCGCTTGGAAAGATCACCCGTGCCGTGTATCCCACGAACGTTGACACAAGTATCGGTGAAGCTAGAAGCGACGACGGTGATCGCTGCTGTACCTGGGAGGACTAACGGGCTAATGAGATTTACTTGCGCAACACCCGGCGTCGGTCGTGGCGTCAAGGCGTGTAGATGCAGAGGATTACTAACGCAATTCCGTTTGTTATCCATATGGCGTCACAATGTGTCCTCATGTTGAGTTTTTACGTGCGCGACCACGTGCGACTGGCGAGCTCATGAGGTCCGAGCCTCGGAGATCTGTCTTCATTGGAATTTAAGTGGGGGCAAAAACTTAGTTCCCTAGAGGGCTTGAGAACACATATTGGTTGGTTGCCTTGTTTGGCGCCCAACTCCAAATAGCAACGACATTTTGTTGCCTGCGCAAACTGGCCGTTTGTATTCTTGTCACGTTGACCGGATGTTCATCGTGTGCCCGATACTGGTCCCATCCTTCCGTCGAGTTGGAGCCCACTGGCTACGGCGTGGAACCAAAATGTCTCCAAGCACGGTACCTGCCGTCGGCGACGTAGGTTGTTTGACGCTTGCGTTCCCAATCTACCATCTACCGGTCGCCTTTGTCGCCTAGTCTACACCACTGCGCGTCCTTTCCTGCCCCATCCCCTCCCAATCCCTGCTGGGGTCGCGAGGTCGACGGCACGTTTCAATCGCAACTATGAATAACTGGACTCCTTTCCTGCTTCCCGACGGACTTCCCGAGAGCTGGCCGACCGCCACGTGGCTTGCGGAGGAGATCGAGATGGCCTGCCGACGGACCATGGTACTTTCGGGCGTCGCCTTGATCGTGGGCATGGTAGAATTTCCTTGATCATCCCGGTACGTGTCTGCAGCACGACGAATACTAACTGCAAACAAACGGCAATCCGCGAAAGAAACAGAAACCAGGCAGAGCCAGGCCCGCAGATCAGTCATACACGCGCAACGGCAAAGGTGGACTCAGATCCGCCGAGTCAAACACGCGCAGGAACATGGAGGTCCAAAAAAACGCGTAAAAAAATCCAGCCCGACCAGACAACAAGATGAAATCTCGTGTTGTCGAGGGGTTCGATACGTGTATCAGGTACTAGTGAAGGACGACGAGGAGAATGAAGGCGCAAAAATATGTCGAGGTCGGGCAATCACAAAACGGACACAAGTTAAGTACCAAAATACATGCAGAGACAAACGCTACAAAAAAGCGCACACATGAAATACCTCCAAACGACCAGTACCACCACTCATAAACGCGCAAAGGCAAACACCTGGGGCATAGAACCTGAGGTCAAAATCGAATTTAGGTCCGAGAATAACAGCCCGGGGAGTAAGTAGCCCCGGCCTCATCTGAAGCCCTTTCCTTTTATTGGCCAGGGAGGGTATGTCAATCTATCTATGTGGGGGTCGAGGATGATGGTATTATTGTTGTTCGCGTTGATGAAGAAGGAGTTGAACGAAGGGAAAAAGCAACATTTTTCCTCGTTCTTGACTTGGCGTTGGAATGGGTACCGAGTCGGAAAAACGACAGGTGGCCGTCGGCCGTGACCATGGTATCCATTGGCGTCAGATGAGGATCGGTAAGGCTACGCTTTGTCGGGTAGACGGGGAACCTTGAACCACAGATTTTTCTTCGTTCGTCAAGTACGGGAGGGAATGACCGAGGGCAGCCCCGATGGGTTATTTTTACTAGATCGGGAGATGGAATAGTTTTTTGTTGAAAAAGGTACCTGCAGTAGGCTCGTGCGTTGCTACCATTGGCCCGTTTACTACACAGCAGTATTGCAATATATTGTTTGAGGTGTGGGGGGCGCCAATCAATGTGATGGACTCCGAAAAAAAAAAATGTCCTGGAAAAAATAGGCACCTCCATACGGACTCGAACCCATGATTTCGAGGGTCAGGGTGGCCTTCACCGAGTTCACGAAGTGAATTGGCTTTTTGACAGCGTTGTTGCCAAGCGACGGAACCCCAATCCCGATGGCAAACACCGAGGGGGGAGGCTTCTTTTACAACTTTGATGCAAGCGACAAAACCCAACCCCGATGGCAAACACCGGGGGGGAGAAAGGTGCACTCCGGGGGGGAGAAAGGTGCACTCCGGGGGGGAGGGAGGGGGGGGGGGGGGG